AAGTAACAACTTCTTGAATATTCAACTTTCTTATTTAAAAAAGAGAAAGAGAGAGAGAAAGAAGTGTGGCCAAAGTGCTTTGCAGCTCTAACAAATGCAAAATATTCTGGAAATACAAGTAACAAACAATACAATACAAATAACGAGTGCAAAATGTTCTGGAAATATAACAGCATCGTCTAGAGACACACCACAACTTTTATGTACTCCATGCAATAAGACAATGTAATATTCATATAGCAACTTTAAAGAAAGACTCTTAATTTTAATAATAGATCCATTTCTTTGTTAACGAATGAGATATAGAAGCAGCCTGAGTTTTAAATATGGAAAAACTGGACATGCTGGTTATTCTTTAAAAAAAAAAAATCATTTGAAAAAATGTTAATTCTGACCATTTCCTGACAAGAGTCTATCTGGAGTAACACTGACTTAACAGAAACAAACAAGACTATTTACAATGGCTACAGTTTAACAAAGGCTCCTAGATTTTTACCTTCCTTGGCTGCTGAACAAAAGCAGCAAATGGAAATACAGTTGCCCCCAGCAGCTGGCAAGTTCTCTTCCATGTGCAAAGAAGTTGGGGAACAGCTGGAAATGCAAGATGCTTTTGAACAAGCTGCTGCTATGTGATCCAAAATAATGTGGCCCGTTCATCTTCCCGACAAAGACAGCGACAGCCCAGCGCAGGTCTGGCGCATGCCCAGCAGCTGCTTCTGTCTTGCAGTGGGAATGCAACAAGTGGCTACAAATGGAGTGAGATGCACAAGAGGGGGGATCTGGCTCCTTACTCTTTATGTGCTGTCAGTTGGTCACATATGCAGCTCATTTTCCAGGGTGGAAGAAACCTGCATTTCATATTCAAATGTAAAACTACATGATAACAAACACTCTCTTACTCCAATCTACACTGTATATAGAAAGACAGCTTACCAAAACTACTCCATGACATCATACAGCTTCTAGAGCTCTAGCCTGTTACAGATTAAAAGCCCCAAATCCAGGACTAGAAAATAGCCAAAAAAAGAAAACTATTCCTCCACTTGGATTTGCTAAATTGAGACACTTTCAAGTGTTTTCACGTATGAAATAGCTATCCTAGATGTTCAGCTTAACTGACCTGTGCCTCCCTCTTTCACCTTCTAAAAGTTAAGTTAGCAATTTTTGTATACAGTTTACCATATTTGAACAAATACTTTTGAAATGTTAGGTGTTAAACTTTCCTTCCTTCTCTGTCAACTTGGTGGCTCACCTTTAAACAGTCTCAGGAAACATTCTGTTTTCCAAGGAAATGGTCCTTTTTTTTCGATTGGGCCAGTACAATGTTCACAGGAGCAGATCTTTAATTTTTTTTTCTTTAGCACTATAGATGGCCAATGAATCAGAAAAGAGAATAGATGCTCCTTTTCTCAGTTTGTTTGGTTTTGAGTTGGCTTTTTTTCTAGTCTTGTCATCTTGGCAGTTTGGATGCTGGCTTTAAATTTAAAGGAAAGAGAAATGGCAGAAGGGCCAGCCACAAAATTATACAGTGGCAAAACCAGGAAGAAAGCACTACAGCTCTAGAGTCCCTTGTAAACTCCCTGGGCAACTGGACGTTTTCCTTCACTACTAACTTTCCCCTACCCTCAAATTGCTGGGGGGTGGGGGGGGGCCGAGAGGGGGAAATCTGTAAGTGCTCAACATTACAGTATTGATGAAGAACAGTGAGCTAACAAAGCTATCAATTATTTTACTTCTCTAGATGTGGGGTAGAAGGGAAGAAAGCAGGTGCTGTTCTTAAACACCTTTGTCACTAGTCAACATTTGCTGAGTGTCTACTATGTGCTAGGCACTCTGTTAAGCACCTTATGTGGATTATCTAATTTTATCCTCACAGCTTGAAATCAAGAGGCACTACTATCATTCCTGTTTTACAGAAAGAAAATGAAGCTCAGAGAGGTTGAGCAATTGTCTAAGGTTACCCAGCAATAAGTGGAGGAGGAGGCGCGTGAACCCAGCCATTCTGACTTCAGAGGTTTGTCCTTATTCGTCACGCCTGGCAGGGCAGTAGGACATTCTGAGTCCCAGACTGTCAGTCCAGCCTTTCAAACCTTCTTCTTTAAGGCAATAGATTTTAAGTAGCACTCAGGATAATACCAAAAGTCTCACATTTCAAATTAGAGCTCAGTGTTGCATAGAACTATGTGCATAAAGCCATATTCTTAGGTTCCTATGAGAAGTTGGGGGGAGGAGATAATTTACTTTAAGAAAGTTAGCTGTTCTTTCCAAAAGCAGACCACCCTTAACTTTACCCACACATTCAGTACAGTGGCCATGCCACACACAGCTTAAACAGGGTAAGAACTGTGGCTCCTTGCCACAAAGAAGGCAGAGCTCTGTGTAGAATTTCCGATGCCAACCCACCTGCCTAATGAGACATAAAGCAGGAGGCAGCTATTCCTGGCCCTCTTCGAAATTGTCCTGTAACTCTAAAGGTTTTTAGAAGAAGGCTTGGTTCTTTTCACATGCCTTAATCTTTAAATAAGAGTTAGATGAAGTGCTGACACTACCAGAAGCCAGCAACACGTGGCCAGTCCATCAAACCCAAATGCCTAGCATAATCAAAAGTGGGGTTACAGCAGACACCCTAAAATGCATTAAAACACACACACATACACACAAACAAAACACACCTCTTCAGTAACAGCTTCTGCGGAAGAAACAGAGGCAAGTAAACAGTTCCCTTTGGAGCAGAACCATCTCATTGACCTGCTAACCTCTTTAGGCCTCCCCTTTCTCAACTGTAAAACAGAAACGTCGACCAGGGAGTAGGCTGTGAGGTTGAGAGGAGGAACGTGAGGACCCTTGCACAGTGCGTAAAATTCCCTCCTGCATCACTGGCGCCATCAAAGCCAGTTCTGCCCTTTCTTCACAAGGGAAGAAGTGGGAGAGGCAGGTAAGATACGAAAAAGGTGAATTTTATGCTTTGACTTCTGGGGGCTTTGGACTCACACCAGCACAGAGAACCTGTCTTTCTCTTCGGCGGCCTTTCTTCCTGTCTTGTCCATGTCCTGAGAAACGTCTGGAGCCAGGAGAGATGCTACCTCTGGTATTTCCATGACAATATTTGTGCTTGTGTACTAGGGTGTGCATAAAGTGATCATCGCCTGGGGATGGAGGTGGGGTGGTGGACAAGGAGCTCCTTTAATTTCCCCAGCTGGGCCCTCCCCTTCCGCGAACTTGCCACTGCATAAACTGTCAGACTTCAACAGATCTGTAATGCCTACGCCCCAGGCGCTTAACCCCGCACCTGACCCAGTTTGCAGCCAGCACTGGAGCCTCCCCGCCTCTCACTCACAGTAATGCAATTACCGCCTTCTGGAGCTCCACTCAAGGTGCCTGGGCTGCTGGCTGTCACCTGGGTACTAAACCACTCCCTTCGGGGAGCCGGCACACGCGCAGACACCGCGGGGAGGGACGAGGTGGGCGCGGCGGCAGGGTGCGCCGAGCGCCTAGTTCAAATCGCGCAGGTCCTGCGGTGGCGCGGGCCCGGGACACAGTGAGGGAGCTCGGGTCTCGCTGCAGTGCTCACCCGTAACAGAGAGGAAACAGGCTATGTCTATGTCGCACTTCTAAACACCCGCGCGCCACTCCCCGGGCCTCCCTCTTCCGCGCCCCTCCTCCCTGCCTAACGGGCAGCTGCGCGAACTTCCCGAAACTCTGCGGAGAGCAATCCTAACCCGGCCCGCTCTCCCCGCTGCGCGCGCCCGGGCGCGCCGGGGACGGAAGTGGGTGGAAGGACGGCCGCGCGGCGCCTTTGTTATAACTCGGGGACCCCGTGGGCCGCCGGCAGCACCCTTTGGCTGCTATCCGGGGATCCCCACTCCACCCCTCTTGCCAGCGCCATCCAGGTTCCCGCCTCCACCCACAACGTGACCGCCAGCAGCCCCCGTAAAACTGACCCACCTCAGGCCTCGAGAGGGTCGCACAGCGGCGCGTCCTAGTGTCCGCCGCCCTTAGCCCCATGCTGCCTTTCTTACCCCTAGGCCATGGCGCGGAGGGACATTCCTCACCTTCCTGAGCGTTGCCCACACCTTCAGATGGCAGAATCGCCGCTTCCCGCAGGACGGAAACTCAACAGCCCCGACTGCTTACAGCGCTACAGCCACTCTGCGCCTCTTCTCTGCCGAGCAACGATCGGGTCCCCCCTCGGGATGATTCACTTCACTCCTTACCTGGAGACTCACACAAGTCCCCTCCCCTCTGCCGGCCCGCACAGCGATCAGGAGCTAGCGCCCTCTGCCGGGCCACCAGGCGGTGTCCCTCGGGACGCAATAAAGGGCCAACCAGTGAAGGTGGAGACTGTGAAGCAGGGCCGAGCGCAGGGACACCCGTGCCTCCCCACCGCGGGTCACCCCTTCCCAAGCAGAGGCCAGTGATCAGAGACAGTCCTGGGGCAGACTTTCCGGGCGGAGGGGACCAAAACTGGGCCCGAGCCCCAGGACACGAAAGCACACCCAGAGTAGCCCCCCTCCAGGGTGAGCTGGTCCAGCCCTGTCCCCGCGAGGTGTTCTGAGGAAACCGCGTGGAATCGGCTTATGCACGTTCTATTTTAAAGCACTGGAGAGGCAGTGTTTACTGTGAAGCTTGTTCCCTGCGTCTCGGTACCTGTCCCTACCAGAATTAAAGGGATGGAGGGGAGAGCGATGGCTTGTCACGCCCCTGGGTCCTAGGGCTAGCTAGGAAGAGACTTGGGGGCGAGCTCCAGGTGCGGCAGCAGCCCCGGGGCTGCAGGTGCTCTCTGTCGCATGTGGGGACTGAAGACCAGGCAGTCTGTCGCTCACCGAGTTGGGGGGGGCAAGTGAGTCGCTCTTTCGCGGGAGTAAACACACTTCCAACAGGTTCGCCTCTCAGCTTCTCGTAGACCCTAATAAAACTTTGGAGGGGGACCGGATGGACAAGGACAGGACCCGGGCGCAAGGACCCGGGTCTTCCTGGGCCCCCAACTTCCCCCAACTCACCTTCTCACTCTTCTTCCCAGCCGGGCCGCCCTGGTCCACCTGCTGGCCCAAGTTCCCCGCTGGCCGGGGGCGCACACTCGCGCGTGCCCTCGGTGGTGGCGACACGACCCCCGGCTCCAACCTCTGGGATCGGCTCAGGAGAGTAAATACGTCCCCCCACCCAGTCGTCGCAGCTGCCCTAGCACAGCTAGCTTCGAGCTGCTCAGGGCTAACCTGGCGCCTCCTTCCCCGAGAGCCGGCGCGCAAGTCCCGGCTCGGCGGGCGGGCGCCGGGTATTAATTGTAGGGCCCCCGAGTGTCGGCCGCCGGGCGCTCTGAGTGGCTCGGATGGCGCGCCAGGCCGGCGGGGCCGGCGCGACCCACCCCCTGGGCGCGCTCCCGTCCTTGCCCGGCCCGGGGACGCGCCCCGAGCACGCGCCCGGCGTCTCCCGGGCTCCTCGGCTGCCCCGGAGGCCAGATGGGAGCCGCTCACCTTAGAAACTCAGAGCGGATACTCTGCTTCCAGCCGATCTAGGGGTAGGACCTGGCTAGCAACATGAGCGAATGTTGCAGCCTGCAGCGCTCCTGGCCAGTTAGTTACCAAGGAGATGATCCTTGCTGGGCCACTCAAGATTGTGAAAAGTCACCTCCTGTCTCCAGGGTGGTCATACCCCACCTCAGTGGTTCTTGCACTTAGCTATATCAAAATGTTCCCAAATTGGCTAACACAAGATTGCAGTCTGGCTCTCCAAGTCTTCCTGGGGCCAGGGAATTTGCATTTCTCACAAGTTCCCAGGTGTTAAGGTTTGTGAAAATGCTTGGTGATCGGCAAAGCGGTGGATAAATTTAAACATGGAAAATATGTTACTTTTCTGTTTCAGCAGATAGTGTTCGAATTTAATTTCCCTCCAACCTCTGCTTCATTTCCTCCAAGTGTTAGACTGTCTTATTTTTTCCTCCTGAGTATGCACCAAGCATTTGCAGAGCAGCCCTGCATCAGAAAAAAGAAAAGTGAATGTATTCGTTTTCTAGGACTGCTATAAGCAAGAAAACACAGACTGAGTGACCTCCATAAAAATTCATCTTCTTACAGTTCTGGGGGCTGGAAGTCCAAGATCAAGGTGTGGGCAGGGTTAGTTTCTCCTTAGACCTTGCTCCTTGGCCTGTAGATGGCCAATCTTCTTGCTGGTTCTTCTCACTCTGGTTTTCCTTTGCATCTGTCAATATCCAATATCCCCTTCTTAAAGGGACACCAGTCATATTGAATCAGGGTGTAACCAAGTGACCTCATTCTTACTTAATTACCTCTTTAAAGACCCTGTCTCCTAATACTGTCACATTCTTAGGTACTGAGGGTTAGTGCCTCAACACATGGGGAAGAAGGGACACATTTCAGCCAGTGGCTGTGAGCCTTACAGTTCCTAAGACGCTAGAGCAGACATGGAGCATTTGCCCATCCTTGTCCCCTCTAAGTAGGCTGACTCAGCTTGTGGTCCTTGTGTGAGAAGAACTTGGGAATCTCTCAGGATCTGGGCTGCCTACCCAACAAACATTTCAGAACTGACCTTTTTCACTTTGTTAGTGGCTATGTCCAGAGTCACCCCTTACCTTTGCTGCAGCTGGGCCCTCTGTCTGGCAGAGCCATCTCCTGCAGGCTCTGAAAGGAGGGGCTATGTTAAGTCCAGTAAAGACTTCATGCCTCCTGTGATCGGTGAGGGTTCTGCAGGCATTTACATCTGGTTAGGCAGGAAGGACAGGAGGACATAGCTGTGTGTGCCCATGTCATGCCAATGAAAGGCAACTGAAAGACTGATCTTCAGCAAATCAGTAATTTCCCTTAATTTGGGCCTTCCCAAGGCCCTCTGCCCTATACTCTCCTGGTCCCACTTCATATCTTCTTTGTGACTTCATCCAACTCTTGACTTCCTCAAAGAGCAAACAAGGCCTCTCCCAAACTCTACATCAAAGGGCTGGTGGATCTAATGGGTACCCCAGACTCAGTATGTTCCCAGTTGAACTCTTCCCCCAGCTGAGTGGAGGCACAAATTCATCCTAATATTGCCTGCTGGGAGCCTGGAAGTCATCCCAGGCATGACCTTCCACTTCTCCCTTGGCATTCCACTAGCTTCCATCCACCTGCACTCATACTGGATGCCTCTCAGAAGCCTCTTTTCTCTGCTCCCACCACCATTGCCTGGAGCCAAGCCCTTTGTGCTGTTTATCCTCTGGTTTTCCACTCCAGTCTGGCTTATCAGCCAGCAAGCATCCTACATTAATATCTTTGGTGATGTTACAGACACCTGGTGATCCTTCTGCCCTTCTCAAAACATCCCAGTGGATCCCTTTGGTGTTTCAGGAGAATATGCAGCTCTCTAGCCTATCTGGCTGTTGTCCTGTCTGTGCCCTTCTTTCCAGCCACAGAGATCCCTCACACATGATGCCCTGCAGCTCCAAGGGATCCATGCCCCCAGGCACTGAAGCAAGCATGCTTACAGCAGGCATACTTGCAACTTTCTTGGTCTTGAGAAAAAGGATCAGCCACTTGCAGCCTCCTCCAGGAGTTACTAGCTCCAGAAGGCCTGTGCATCCCTTTTTGGAATAAAAGCCTGGGCCCAGCTCCTGCAGCTTTGTCATAGCTCTTAGAACATCAGCTGTAGTCACTGGTCACTTTTCTGTGTCTTCCAGTACATTGTGAACTCCAGGAGAACAAGGACCTCATCTATTTTTGTAAGCCTAAAGTCTAGATTGGACTTGATATCCAAAACATTTCTAGTATTATATACACATACACATACACTTGCCTTAAGGAATGAATGAATCTTAGAAATTCAGAGGATTTGTTCAAACTTACTGTTTGCTTGAAAATACCTTCTTTGTAGCAATCAATGTCTCTGATAGTATCTTGTAAATATTCTCCCCTTAGTCACCTCCTGGATGAATCTTTTAGAATTCCTAATTATCTTCTATTGCCTCCTAAATATGCCATGTTCCTTAGGCAGTTTTTCAAACTGCTGGTCCTGGTTAAATCTTTTTTGATGAAATAGAATTAGAAACAAAAAGTCTATATACAGACTCTGTGTAGTAAGAGTATTGTTTTTGAAGTATAATTCTCTATATTTGTGAGTGTGTGTGTGAGTGTGTGTAACACACTCATGCAGGGTTCTGTTGTCAAATGTATTGCTTCCTGAAGGTCATGGTTAAAAAGCCAGAGTGATACTGCCTTAGGGAGGCAGAGCTGTGCTCACCAGAGAGCACAGATTTGCAGACAGAAGAGGGGTGCAGTTAAGCAAAGAGCATTTCAGGAAAGAGATCTTCTGGAAACCAGTCTTTTAATCAAGAAATTGGCAGTCAGAAGGTAAAATACAGTGCTCCCTGTGCAAACAATCGGTGCCTTGTAAATGCTTCTAAGGACTGGCGATGGGCGAAAGTGTGCAAGATGGACATGGGGAGTCCTTTTGCCCAGAGCTTGTCAGGGAGTGAGAAGAGATAAGATCAGTGGTAAGAGAAGGGGAAGGAGGCCTGGTTTGCTGCCAGGCAGAGCTGGTGTTCCCTGAGGTTCCCAAACACGAGCAAGAGGTCCAGTGACATGGGACTTCCTCACCCCTTTTCCATTGTGAATGTTTCCGGGCTAAAAGAACTATTGAGTTAGGCTTTGCTGAACTAAAATCAGCACTTGCTCTGTGTTGGAGTTGGAGAGGTGAGAAACCCAGAGCCATCTGCAGCGTTTAAGCACTGTGTTCAGTTTCTGAGCCCTGTGGAGCACAAGGCAGGAAAGCCATTGATAGGGGCAGAAATGAGACAGGATTGTACAAGAGAGAGCAGCAAGTGGCCCTTAGGAAACTTTAACCTTGACAGTTATGTCAAGTATTTCCAGCTACATTGCGTACCTTTATGTAAGGAGCCAAGACCCAGCCCCCAAACATTCAGAAGCCAATGCTCTCTCCCTGGCCTAAGGTTTAGACTCTGATAAAGAAGGTTACCATGTAAATGAAGGAAACACATTATGGCTATTTTTTTTCATTGATTTAATTATTTTTGTTTGAACAGGTCAGAAGAATTGGAATTTAGGGCCCAGAGAACATGGATGAGATTTTTTAAAGGAAGACAAAATAGGGTGGACCAGAAACAGTTAAAATTATAATGAAAAAGATTTTAAAAGACAATTTCTTTATTCTCCTAATTCTAAAAAGAAATACACTTGGATGTGGATATTATTGCAGAATTACATTTGGCATTTGGAAAATGAGCAGAATCTGAAAGAAATCAAGGTGGGGCAAGCATGAGTTTTGTTTTGCTTTGTTTTTGTCAGCACTGGGATTTGAACTCAGGGCTTCGTGCTTGCTCGTCAGGCAATCTACCACTTGAGCCACTCCACCAGCCCTACATATGAGTTTAATAAAACATAAAAATTGGTTCCACATTATTCTTTTTCTTGGGGGGTGGGATGTCAAGATGGGTTGGGTAGAAAGAGAGAGAGAGAGAGAAAGAGAGAAATGTACTTTTGAAAAATTCCTGGGAAATTTTTTTATATGATTTATAACACTAGCCATGTCTCAACCACTGAAACTAAGCTAGATAAATGGGTGTCTATTGAATTTTCCCCTAAATACAAAGATTCTTCATTATATTTTATCGTCTACATCCACCCCTTGTTCAATCTAACCTTATTATTAATAAACCCTTCTTTCATACTTTGAAAATTAGTAGGATGAATAATTAAAAGTAGTATATTAAGAGGAATATATAACCAATTTTTTATTGTTTGCTTTAAAAGAGAATTTCTTGCTATGCGGCACAGGTTGGCCTTATACTCTTGCCTCTGCTTCCAGAGTAGCTGCGATTACAGGTTGATGCCACTGTGCTTGGATTTAACCAAAGGCTTTAATGGAAGTTGAAGATGTAGGTGGCAGAATATACTTAGCAGAAGCTCATCCTCCTCACAGGAGCCCGTGGAGCTATTGCTTATATGCAGCTGCCTCTTTGGTTGCTGCCAAATTTCATCTGGCTATTTAAATTGGTAGAATGCCTTTGTCCTCTGAGGAAAATGGTAGAATGTGGACCAAAGCCTACTGAATTATGGAAGCATGCCAGTTTTGGTCAAAGGGGCTGTAAAAAGCATACCACAGGTCACAAAAGGCTCTTTAAGTCCTGGTCATGAGAAATGGCCAAAGAGCCTCTGATAAAGGATTTGGCAGTGAGCCCAACCATGTAGAGGCTTCATCAACAAGTGGCCTTCCTGGGTGCCATACCAGTGTCTTACCTACCTTCCGTCTCTCCTGTCACTTTCTCCTTCCAGTCTCCCGTTGACTGAGCCTCT